TTGCACTTTTGCAATAATAAAGAAATAAAAGATTTTATTAAAATAATAATTTATTAGCTGTAGAAATTTTTGGCTGTAGGAAGTAACAGTTTTTTAATTTAATAACATAAGCCTGATTTTTATTGCTCTTTCAAATGAGGGGTCACTCAAAGGGTGTATGCAATAATTACAATTTTGAGTTTCCCAAAAATATTGTAATTTTGAGCGTTTTTGGCTGTAATTCCGGTTAGAAATTAGATAGAAATTTCTAGTTTTCACCATTTACCTAGTTTTTTAATGCTCTTTCAAATGAGGTGTCACAAGCTAGGGGTTTACATTTAAAAATTTTGAGTTACCCCCCTTACCCCCCATTTAGGGGGGGAATTCAAAAATTTTAACTATGTCAAAAGAAACTTCACGTTATGTTACTATCACTCCCCAAACGATATTTCATTATTTTAAAAAATAAAAAAAATAAATAGGGGGGAGGAGACATTTTTTACACACTGTATATAGATTACTCTAGCAATAAATTATGAAAATGTAAACAAACATCTGATAAACCTTTTATGTGCTCCTAACCAACTACGACTTTTATGCCCTACTTAAAATGGCCCATAAAACTATTTAAGGACATAGTCTGACATTTAACACGTTCGCTACTGAGCGTCGCATATATGCGACGCCGCAGTCATTGCCACAGACCGAGGTATACGTTTGAATCTTACACATAGACCGGCTGTCACTTCGATAACAGTACACACAGACCACGGGCGAAAACCTGTAAAACAGTGATCATTTACATTGTAATACGCTACAATCGTGTTTGTAAATAAATTATTCTTGTTTATTTGTATTTTTTATAACCTTTTGTAATGTCGCATATTTGCGACGCCCGGTCTACAGCGAAGACAATAATGAAAATTATCATAGTTTTCTTGAAATAGACTAAACGTCGCATATATGCGACAGTTCATTTTTTTGTGTTTTAAGGTGAAAGTAAGTAAATAAATAAACAGATTATTCAAGGACAGTTTATAACTGAACAAATATAAAAGCTACATAGGATAATGCAGCATACATACTGCATACATACATACAGTGATGCAGAAAAGTAAAGACCAGTTTTTCCAACTATTATATGACGTCACCAATCATCATACCCACAGACCAAGCGACACAGTTGTGCGTCAGACATCTCTGTAGACCACTGCAGGGAATTCAATGCCTTCAAATAGACCACTACAAAGATATAAGCATTTTAATAACATTAGAACCCCGACGCAAATATGCGTCGGCAGTCTATTTTAATGTGACTAGCCGACGCATATATGAGACGGCAGTCTATGGGTGGAAACCGGTCGTCGCATATGTGCGTCGCTGGTCTATGTGAATGGAAAATTTCGTACTATTGCAGTAGCGAACGTGTTAAGGACAATTCCTGTACATTTCATGGCCAGTAAAAAATTAAGTACAATGGTTGGTAGACACCCTGAATAGAATATATAATACTAGGTGAAACCCGTCAAAATCAACGGTTACTTTCGAGGCCTACGCTAGTTCATCTAACTGCGATAAATTGAGTGCAATTATACATATTTTGAGCATTTAGCATTGTTAAGAGATTAATAAGTGTAAAAACAATAATGATATTAATTGCGTTAGTTACCAAATATGGTTGATCATCCATTGAATAAAATATTTCCCATACCGTACGTCATTGGGGTTGTTAGTATACTATCTGGTATCTCTCTATATCTGGTATCCGCCTTTATGATTTTATTTGAAAAAAATCTGTTTGTTGGGAAGACACGTTCTAACTTCAAAGGGAGATATATCCGTTACTGTGTAAGTTTGATTTTTTCTTCGTCAAGTCGGGCGACGTGTCAGTTTCATATCGTACTTCTGTGCCCATGAATAACCCTATTGCACAGTTTTGAGAAATTGGTTGTGGGGTTACTGTTAAAGCTGGAATTCCTTGACATGGGGGATGTCTGTTAGTTGTCTCAGCCTTATCAGTTACATAAAGTTGTTAATATAAACTCTCTACAAAATGTTAGGTGTAGTGGAATATACTTGAAGTGAAGTTGGCTTTTATTCTTAAACTGTTAGGGGCATTCACATTTATATGGTCGTGCAGCTTCATTGGCAAAAAATAATGTGAATGACATAGTAATGTGGCATTTTCAAAAAGCAAAAAATAATGTAAGTTCGCTGTTACGTAAATATTGACGTTTACATGCATTGTCAATCAACATATCTTATAAAGGATGATGTGATCTAGTTTTAAAGGAATATGACCTTTCTGTCACGATAGTAGCTGCTGCTTAAATAGTATTTACTCATTGGCCCATTTTTACAGCTAAAATGTTTTGTCTTATTTTCAATAATTTTTACCAACCCAGTGGGCCACGGTCCGTAATATAGGCCACTGCAAATAATTTGTCAAGGTAGGTACCATTTTAGGTATGGTTTCTGTGTTTGGATGTTATTAGAAACGGTAAGAGCACAATAAAATTCTTCTGCAGATGAATTTTCTGTTGGAGAAATATAAGCCGAATCATCATAAATGTCACAATGCGAGTTTGAGCATTTTGTAACCATATTATAATGGGTAAGTTACATAGATTTTTTAGGCTGCTGCTCAGTGCACTTTAAGAATATATATTTTAGAGATAAATAAATGGTTTATGTTGCTGAGTAGCGCTTGTAAATATGCACAACCCTTTTCGTTAGTCTAATAACATTCAAAGGCTCTCTAAGTGTTCTTATTTGTATACATATCTACTGTCCGCGAGAGTAAAGAAGTACCCTGAGCTTCGGCCTATTCGTAGTTTGAAGGCGTTACGCTTGAACGTTTTGCGCGACAATCACTGTAGAGCCGTCTTCACGCTGCTCTGCTAGTTTTAAGGCTTAATTTTTGTATTTAATATCTGTATGATTTTATAAATCTATGTCATAATATTTTTTTGCATAGTCATACAATTGAAGGAAACCCATTTTCTAGTGTTACTAAGGCAAATTAATAACCTTTCTACTTTATGATTTTTGTTTAGTTAAATGTAACAATACCAACTAAATACAATACAATAAAATCCTTTTTAAATCCGAGTTTGAAAGCATTAATCCCAAATAATTAGTTGATCCATGAATATACTTATGGTGAATGCATATTACCGGTACATATAAGTACACGAGTTCAGCAGTTTCAATAACATTCATCGCAAACAACTTATTATTAAAGTTATTAATCCTATTACCATAAACCTAAGCAAAAAATCAAGAAAACAAGCAAAATCCCTTCCTTTGACCCAATGTCTACGACAATCACGCGGTTTGACGTGTTCATATCAGGTAACACGCCATTGACGTCTATACTTTGCCAAAATTTCTGGAACGTTAAATTACTGTCCATCCAAGTTTCGTCCAGATAGAAAATTTTCCTTTTTTTTGTCCCCTTAGCTTTCTCATCCCTCGCAAATACTGAAACCTCCAATTAACGATGTCAGGCCTTTCAATCAAACATTTTCTTTTAGGACAAAATTTCTTCCTCTTGAACCCCATATATTTTAAGAGACACGGAAGTGCCCATTCGCTCCATTTAAAATGAATTCTTTCTCTCAAAACAGGTAATAGTTTTTTACATGTATGGACAATTTTTTTGTTCTTGTAAAAATCGCGTATTACATCTACAATTACACGCCTATCAAAGATATATATTTGTACTTAATATTGGTCAGCCTACTTGCGTTTTTCCTTGGTGTACAGAGTTTTTCATCCGGAGTTTGTTTGCCGGCTTTTCTAATTCGTTTATTAGTTTTTTCTGGCACTTAACAATAGTTTGCGGCACGTTCTGTTGCCTTTTCTATCGGCATTGATAAGTTTTTGTCTTTACATTCGTTGTCACAACACTCGATCACCCGTCTAATTAAATCTCTCTCTCCACTATGTACTAGTATAGTAGCACCACGTTTTCTTAAATCCATAGCTACAAGGACCGTCCAAAACAAAACAGAACTCACTACGCGAACACACGAGACTGCAATGAATCAAATGACGTGACCACATGATGATAATCCACTTACCAAAAACAAAGATATGAGTAATTATGTTTACAACAGTTGTTTACAGACAGACATCGAGGTGAGGCGCCCAGATGCTTAGCGCCTGTAAATAGTGTGCGATACCCTCCAAACATAGCTGCGTATCGCTCTGGCTCAAGGGACTTCTTTACTCTCGCGGACAGTATATTATGTTTTCACTAAGCTGAATGAATACATCGAAGTAACCTCTCTCATCATCATGATCATATTTCTACATAAATATTGTAAAATGTTTTATCCAGTTGCTGAAAACTACTATAAATTTAACAAAATATGGACACGGCTCAAATGGGCACCGTGCCCTTCTGCACTTGTATTATTTTGCATTACATTGCAAATACTTCTTTTGGACAATTCAGTAACTCCCAATAAATGTGTGTTGTTTAAAACACAATTTTAAAATTAACAGCTGTTTTATTAAAAAGTATTATCCACATCGCCAAAATGTAAACAAATCTGTGGAGGGATCTTTAAAGGCTTCTGGGGCAGAGCCCTAAGCGAATTTACTTTGTTTTTCTTTTGATATCTCATCTACAGACCAAGACCTTTCTTTGGACACCTCTATCAAGTTTCTACGCCCAGCCGTTCTCTCAAATTAGTGGAGATAAAGTTTTCAATTTAATATTTAGATTCCCCCATGTTAATCTTATGGGAGAAAACCCAACTTTGATGGAAGATCCTGCCCAAACTAATAAAGATATGAAAAAACTAAAAAAAACTTTGCAAAACTGCAGACCAGGGCCATTGTTTTGACATTTTAACCATCAAAATCGGTCAAAAAATGAGGGAGGAGTTCTGTTTACAAAAATCGGCTTAGCGTAATTTATATATAGATAATCCAGCTTATAATACTAGATGGACCTCAATATCTCGAAACTGAAAGGGAAAGGGTAAAAATTCAAGACACAAGGTACTCACTGGATACCAAGTTGTACTTTGCAACTGAATCTAACATGACTCTATGTCGACCGACTCCTCCAATCACAAACAGATCGTTGTTGACAAACACAGCTGAGTGGTGGCGGCGAGGAGAAGGCAAACTGCAACAGATAATGCGTGACAACTAACTGAAGCTAATTATTGTAACAATATTGCAGCCATTCACAGATCTCTTTTAACTAAATTATATTAACTCACCATGGTAATGCTAATGTAATATTAGGTTGCATCAAAAATAAAAGATTTTCTAGAAAAAAAGCTTTTTTATTTGTTTGTTTTTGGTCATAAAACTGGACCTATTTGCAAATGAATATTCCATTCACCCATTTCTTGTGTCCCAAAAATATTTACGCACGTAGGCGAGTGGAAGGAGACAGCGAAATGCACGATGTTAGGAATCTTAGGCAACATCTAGCTAAAATGCCTGCTTTGCTCTCAATTTTAGACAAATCATGTTAAGCCTAATTTAAATAAACAGCACAGTTTTTACAGAAGAACAAACTAGCTAAGGTATCTGTTCTTCAAAGGGTAATTCACACATAGATGAAGATGTTAAAACTTAAATTATCACCAGAGGAACAATCTTAACCGATCATTCCTATTAGCCCAGTCAATGAAAACAATAAAGCAGATCTATGGAATAATAATTTTTCTCTTAAGCATTCTCTTCCCGTTGCGAAGCACGGGTATGGTGGCTAGTCAGTATTTTTTTTTTTTTTTTTGTCCTAGGACGCTAAGCATGAGCCTGGGATTGTTTTTCACATTACTTCAGGCTAGACCTAGGGGTTGCGGCATTATCACTACTGGCATTGTAATAGGCATGAGTTTGAATTAAGTTAGTCCTTTTATAGAGAATCTGCCATATTATATATATCATAGGGAATACGCTATTACCGCAGGTCTCGCAATAACTCGAGCAAACATCATCCTATTTCGATTATCTTACGGATTTAATCATTACCGTAAATTTATTTACACATATAAAGAAATATGCTTATTTTATAAACATATCCTATACTCTAATACGAGCTATATGTCTATTTGTCTTTTTGTCTGTAGGCCTAATATATAGCGGAAGGAATTTGACAAAATTTTAAAATTAGGGACATAAAGCTCTAAATTGTGATTGGTGCCACTACCTCAGGAAAATTGGTATTTCGCTACACAACTCATTTGATAATTTAGAAATTTAACATTGGCCTTAGGCCTGCCATACACGTTCCGTCCCGGCCTCAAGGCCTGGCCTTGAGGCCGGAACTGCACAGTTTGGCCGGAGTCGTGACCTCCCCACACACGCTCAGTCCGGAACTGCACAGTTTGGAGTTTTTCAACTCTTTTAAACGCACTTCTTAAATCATTTATTTGTTTAACCACAGTGTCCTTTGTGGCTTTTGGGTCCGCCTTCTTCACAAAATCCAATAATTGTTGATAGGCTGCTTCCCCCATTTCCCTGTTATGGTACTCTTTACTTTTAATTTTCCAGATGCATTCGTGACCTCGGTATTTCTCAATGAATTCCAGTGTGAAGTCTCTTGACCAGGTAGACATGATTAATGTGGAGTACTAACGAAATCACTACACAACACTACAGCGCCAAAATCCAAAAACTATACCAACAAAACAACAAACAACACAACTCCGATTATGTTTTCACCAGTAGTTGACTCACAATGAAGAAAGGATGCGAATGCGATACTGTAATGCTTAAAATTTATAGGGGGAGGGGGAAGCGCAGCACTGTCTTGGACTGCGGGATTCGCCATACACGTTCAAATCGGACTCAAGGTCCGTTTCATCGGACTGAAACGACATTACAATTAAATCTGTTTTCCGTGTTTAAGAACTTGCGTGTATTTTAGCTTAATTTCGTAGAGGTTTAATTATTTATTACCAATTAAACTAAATTTTGAATATTTTTCATATTCTATTATTTTCTTTTATACTGATGGCATTTATATTTAAGATCGAAATCATAAACATTTAACTGGCCATTGTACAGTTTAATAAAAAACATTTTTTCATGATTTTTTAATTGTCTTTTAATTACTTTGGGCTAGTTATCTGTTAAAAGTGGAATTGATAACAAAAAACAATAACATTTACTGTATCTTTATAGACACTGACATTTTGAAATACGGCAGTGTACGATTATTTTGTCGTACAAGGTTGGCACCGCTCCGAGCAGTGGGCGCGGCCGGGTTAGCGACTTCCAGAGTTAGCGAATTCCGCCGCGAGACAAAATCGAGTTAGCGGGTTCCGGAGTTAGCCAATTCCTGACTGAGACGGTTAGCCAGTTCCAGAGTTAGCCAGTTCCGCCACACGACCGAGTTAGCGAGTTCCTGAGTTAGCCAATTCCTACGTCTCTTTTTTGAGCTTTTGTAGAAGTATGTCCCAGTCCAATGAGTCAAACGCTTTTTGAAGGTCTAAGAAAAGTCCTGATGCATTTTTTCTGCCTTCCCAGATAGTTGCTATGTCTTCTCAGAGTTTTGCAATTGCATTGTTTGTTCCTCGTTTCTTCCGGAAGCCATGTTGACAGTTTGTGAGTAGGTTGTTTGTTTCTAGGTGATTAATGGTTTGGTCGTATATTTCTCTTTCTAATAGTTTGGATATTGTTGGTAAGTTAGATATGGGTCTATAGTTTCCAGGATCTTCTTTATCTCCTTTTTTAAATTTTGGGTGAATCTTAGAGATTTTTAAGTTTTTAGGTATTTGATTTTCTTTGAGTGAGGTGTTCATAATATGGAGTAGAGGTTCTGTTACTTCTTCTCTGCAGTACTTAAGCAGTTTTCCTGTGATTTCATCATAGCCTGCTGCATTATTGGACTCTAAGTAAATTTTACATTTTATACTCAAGAAAGGGGGGAAAGCTCAAGGGTGGGGACTTTTGGGAAAATGCACCTCTCATGTGGGTCTATCACATATAAACAATCGGTACTTTCCTGTTAAAGGGAACATTCATTATTATCGATCTGATTTCTTTCGATATATCGATATTCTATTTTTGATCCGATAATGAACGAGATGTCAGCTGACAACTACGATAAGTAAATATTGTTCAGTATCAACAAACAATTTAAATATTGAAATGAAAATGTTCTAAACTAACCTTACCTAACCAAACAAACTTGCTGTAAAATTTCCAAATTCCGTTTTATATAACTCACATGCCTTTTCTGTTATCAAACGAAATTTTGAAATGATACAGCAAACCCAGCAAGTTTGGTTGGTTATGTTAGGTTAGTTTAGAACAGTTTTACTTATTTATGTTTTGCCTAAACAAGATCAGTTGTCAATTTGTAATATAAATGTGTATGAAGATATTAAAACAGAAGGTATGAATCGTAAAGGAAAACAAAAATATCGATATATCGAAAGAAATCAGATCGATAATAATGAATGTTCCCTTTAACAGGAAAGTACCAAACAATCTAGCTTTCCACCATTTAGTTGCTATAAGAAACCTTTATTGACTGGGCTATATATCTGCTTTTGGCTTTTCTTGTAAGACAAATTAATTCTATTAAACAGACTTTGAAAGTGAAAAAAATGAACTATGCCAATTCCAGAGGCCAAATGGTTGAGAATTCAAATTCTAGAGGCCAGGTAATCTTTGAAAACTAAAATTTATACTATTTTTTATATAAGAAAGATTATAAATAGGAAAAACATGAATAAATCATAGTGGTTTCCAATGGTACCAAGGTTTGAGGTGGAAGAGTTTTATTGTAAATTTATGATTACGAATGAGACAATGAATACCTGGTCTCAAATTCCCAAGTTTCTCGCCAGGTGTCATAAGACCAAACTGATGTGTTCCAGTCCCCATGACCCATCATGTACTCTCCACCAATGACATACAGCTTTAAATCTGTTAACAAACCTGTATCTGTATATACTGTTAGCTACCCACCACTTCCCACACACATAGCTGTGATGTATACATGTCTGTGTTTGTAAATGTACAATTTGTTACGGAAATCTAGCCAACCCAGATATGATTTGATGCCAATCTTTAAAATGTGACATTTGTTGGTGGAATTTTTTTTCAACAAGCTGAAATTTACAAGTTTTCCATAAATTAAGGTCCATCAAACTTAGCAACTGAGCAACCTGAAGCTAGCTCAAATCTGATACCAGTGCCGTTTTCTTACATTCATACACTACTATTATGGCCGGATTCCAACCCTGTACTACAATAAGTTTCGTCTTGTCATAGTAGCTGAAAACTATTTGGAAGAAAATCAACGCTCCTGTTTAAGTAAGAGTGATATGCGATTTGAAATCAGTAGCCTAATAGTCCAGCATCTATAGGGGGTTGAGTATGCACTGAAAGCGTAACTCTTTTTGACTTTTGATTATTGTTGGGGGCATCTTGGAGATGACAAAAACCGATGTTGTCGCCCTCCCAGCAGGTGCACAACTTGGGGGGGAGGGGGGGAAGGGGCTCTGAGACGCGTTCTAGAAAATCGCTTATATCTCGTGAACTAGACACGATAGAAACAAGCTCTAAACGGCATTGTATTACCAACTTCATCTGCTTTAAAAAAGTATCCAGGAAAAGTCCAGTATCTATGATATTAGTTGAGTTATTTAACAATTTATTTAAAATTTTAAATAAAAACCCCTAAAAAACGTTTAATTATCCATTAAAACCCCTTTAAAACAACAAAAGTACAGTTTTTCATCGTGCATAATATGTTTTACACGCTAAAGTGACTTTATATGGTAATTATATCGAAATATTACAAGGTTATGCGAGGTTTCCGATGAAGCGGCACGGTGACGCGGGTGACGCCGCTGCGCGGCAGAAATCAACGTGTAGTACAGACTTGTAAATATTGGGTATGTACCGCAAGTGTAACGCATTTTGACTTTTGATTGTTGTTGGGGGCATTGGAGATGACAAAAACCGATGTTGTCGCCATTCCATCAGGTGCACAACTTGGTGGGAGGGGGGGGGGGGAAGTAGCGCTGAGTCGCGTTCTAGAACATCGCTCATATATCGTGAACTAGACACGATAGAAACATGTTTTAAACGGCATTGTATTACAAACCGCATCTGCTTTAAATATTTTACAATGAAAAATCCCATATCAATGATAAAATTGAGTTATTTTACATTATATTAGAAATTACAAATTTAAAGTCAAAATACCGTTTCTACCTATAAAACTCTCATAAAACGAAAATTAACAGTACTGTGTTTAGAGTGCATTCTATGTTCAACACACGAATTACAAAAAAATAAGTCTGCTGTACTTTCCTTAAAATAATAAGTACGGAGTTCTCGAGTTTGCGAGAAAATAATTATAAGCTGTTTTTAACACTAGGCGATTTTAAATATAAAATTAAAAAAAATCTAGGCACAACTACCAAAGAAAATGCTTAAGTTTGAAATGTATACAGTTTTTATTAAAATAATATTAAAATAGACTTGGAAATGCTGTACTTCATTTTAAAACTTACTGCCATGTAAACTACACATAAGAAAACAATGGATACTATTTCAGTCATCTTGTTTGAAACGATCTTAATGATAAGGATTTTTACTATTATTAAAACATTTGCAGTAGGAGCAGCAGTATTAAGAAGGAAAGGAAGCACCTGCAATGACAGCAGCTATATAGCAATCACAACTAATCCATCTGCAGTCAAGGACATTAGTAAAATGCCTTGCACACCGGACAGCTTCAAATTACACCTGTTACGGTGTAGTGCCCAACTATATTTTTGGGAAAAGTCCTTGACAGGAGAAATATTGTCTTGAGATCTATTCCAGTACGATTTTTTTAAAAAAACAGCTCAGGAAAATTGCGCCCCCTTCTTATGACACTGCCCCCGGCTCCTACAAATTTGCTAAAGCCATGTAAATGCTTGTTAAAATTTTATATTTAAAATAGGCTAGTGTTAAAAACAGCTTATAATTATTTTCTCGCTAACCTGACAACTCCGTACATATTATTTTAAGGAAAGTACAATAAACTTAATTTTTTGTAAATTCGATGGTTGATACATAGAATGCATTCTAACCACATTACATTCATTGTTTTATGAGAGTTTTATAGGTAGATAAACGGTATCTCGACATTAAATTAGTAATTTCTAATATAATGTTAAATAACTCAATTTTTATCATTGATATGGGATTTTTCATTGTAAAATACTTAAAGCAGATGCGGTTAGTAATACAATGCCGTTTAAAACATGTTTCTATCGTGTCTAGTTCACGAGATATGAGTGATGTTCTAGAACGCACTTCAGTGCTACTTCCCCCCCCTCCCACCAAGTTGTGCACCTGATGGAATGGCGACAACATCGGCTTTTGTCATCTCCAAGGTGCCCCCAACAACAATCAAAAGTCAAAATGCGTTACACTTTCGGTACATACCCAATTTTTACCAGTCCGTACTACACGTTGATTTCTGCCGCGCAGCGACGTCACCCGCGTCACCGTGCCGCTTCATCGGAAACCTCGCATAACCTTGTAATATTTCGATATAATTACCATATAAAGTCACTTTAGCGTGTAAAACATATTATGCACGATGAAAAACTGTACTTTTGTTGTTTTAAAGGGGTTTTAATGGAGAATTTAACGTTTTTTAGGGGTTTTTATTTAAAATTTTAAATAAATTGTTAAATAACTCAACTAATATCATAGATACTGGACTTTTCCTGGATACTTTTTTAAAGCAGATGAAGTTGTTAATACAATGCCGTTTAGAGCTTGTTTCTATCGTGTCTAGTTCACGAGATATATGCGATTTTCTAGAACGCGTCTCAGAGCACCTTCCCCCCCTCCCCCCCAAGTTGTGCACCTGCTGGGAGGGCGACAACATCGGTTTTTGTCATCTCCAAGATGCCCCCAACAACAATCAAAAGTCAAAAAGAGTTACACTTTCAGTGCATACTCAACCCCCTATAGATGCTGGACTATAAGGAGTCAATGCTTAAATTGAATCTGTGGTATTTAATTGAATTTTTCGGTAGTGCTTTCTGCAGAACTGATCATATAAGGGGGGGCTCTTTAGTTTTCACTAAAAATTCTTTACAGTTTAAAATGTGTGATTTGGACCAGTTTTGTTCTGAAATGAGTTTAGAAGCAGTTGGGGTCTTTATCGAGGATTTTAAATTAATTTTGGTTTCAGTCTACCAAACTCACCTTCGGGCAACCCTGTGGTTTTTCTTGGTCATTTTGATAAATTATTAAGCCTAACTCATCTCTCTCGTTGGACTAATTATGTTTCAATTATTTGAGGAGATTTTAATAATGTTGACTTGACTAAGAACAACCTCTCTCTAAACAATTTCTTAATATACTCCGCCAGCACAATTTTCACTTCCTAAATCACTACCATACTCGAGGCAACAATTGCCTGGACAACGTATTAATTAACAAACTGTAATAAAAATGCAAACATAAGCTGTAAAGTTTTTGATTTTCCTTTCTCCGACCATAATGATCTTCTATTAAATACAACTTTGGATTGATTCGGTAGGTGTGTTAGTGGATAAGCTTGGTACTTATGATTGGACAAATGTGCTTAATTGTATAAATCCAACAGCATAAAATATGTTTAGAATGTTTTTCAAAGTTTTAAAAGTTAATATTTTTTATATTTCTTAAGTAATACAAATTCAAACAGAAAAATCCAAACAAAAATACCCCCGCCGCAGCAAACCTGCAGACTAAGCGAATTTCCATTTGCCTGAATTGATTTTCAATTAAAATTTAATTAACACTAGTGTACCTGTAGAGGCATATCCTGGGGTCTCCAACAGAGGCTTGAAGAAATGGCCTTTGCTGATGATATTTGTTTCCTCGTTTCCTTTCCCATAGATTTGATGACATGACAGCAAAGTTGCAGTATTTGGAAAGTGAACAATCTACAGGCTTAAAAATAAATGCAAAGAAAACAAAATCAATGAGGATAAATGTAGCGAATAACAACAGTTTCAGAATGTCAGATGAAGAAATGGAAGAGGTGGACAGATTTACATATCTGGGAAGTGTCTTAACAAGAGCTGGAGGAGCTGATGAAGATGTAATGTCAAGAATTACTAAAGCTAATGTTGCTTTTGTAAAGCTGTATCCAGTGTGGAAGGCTCGTGACATTTCGACCAGAACCAAGTTGAAGATATTTAGTAGCAACGTCAAGTCTGTGTTGCTATATGGGTGTGAGACTTTATGGGGGGAAGGTATCTTTATCTTTGACACAAAAGCTACAAGTTTTCATCAACAGATGTTCGAGGAAAATACTGAAGATCTACTGGCCCGAGGTTATTTCAAACAGAGAGCTGTGGAAAGCTACAGATGAAGAACCTGTAGATATACAGATTAAAAACCGCAAGTGGCGATGGATTGGACACACTCTTCGTAAAGATCCAGATGCTGTAGAGAGGCAGGCCTTGATCTGGAATCCCCAGGGGCATAGACGAAGAGGAAGGCCTAGAATGACCTGGAGAAGAACTATAGAAGAAGAAATAAAAGATGCAGGTGAAAACTGGAGGGAAGTGGGAGCCTTGGCTGCCAACTGAGTCCGATGGTGATGTTTCGTGGAGGCCCTATGCTCCGTGCAGGAGTGAAAGGAGATAAGTCAAGAGTACCTGTTGCTCGAATTCGAGCAATTGCTAAGTATTACAGGTGTAGTATATAAAAATATGTTAAAATAGTTATATTTTAAGAGGGATTTGCGAGATAGAACTTATTGCTTATTTGGCCTTAAATTGCTCTATTTTAAGCCCAAATTTTTTCCGGACCCACCCTTGCTGAACTGAAAGGGACCGCGCCGACCTTGGACAACGACACACGCGGACAACGTTAAAGTTGGACAGATTAAGTTTCCAGGGTTGTCGTTTGCGTGCAAC